AATGTGTTGTAGTACGTGTATCTAATGGTATTTGTCAATGCGGTTGTAGTTTACAAAGGAAGAAGACGATGCCATTAGGATACCAGTTTTGGAACGCTATGAACTGGAAGGTCATCCGTACTTCTCCTCAGCAAGGTGAGTAACAAGTCTTATAATTAAAAAACAAATTTTCCTCCGCTCTCATTGGTCGAAAGTCGACCACGTGACGATAGTGCCCGCCGCGAATGGCTAGTATCAGTGCATAAAGTCCGCCGCTTCAGAAAAGTTTGTTTTTGAATTATAAAAACAAAAATAACAACTTTTTTTAAATAACAACTTCCATTGGATTCAATCAAGAGAGAATGAGCTAAGAAAATTAAGATGAGAAAATTAAGTCGTCCTGGGCACCATCAGGATCACTGCATACACCGTTTTAACCTAACGATCAGTAAATCACCACTGAATATTAAAGAAAAACATGGCACAATAAGCTTTCCTCGCAATTTTGAGCTTTTCATATGAAATACTTTTTGCGTGAAACGGTTTTAAAAACCCCAATATTTAGAAAGATTGTATGAGCTTAAAGTCCAATTTCGAGTTCTTATTTGCTCTGTGTTAGCCTCAAAACCAAGTAACATATTTTGTTTTATTGATAGCCTGTTAAAAACGCATGGAATTTGGAAAGAAAGACAATAGAATTGATATGAAATCTCACACTTTTATTCTCACAATTAGGAATATTTTGCGCACATATGAGGCTAACACAGAGCATTGGAGAATTCGAAACTGGATTATTAGCGCTTTTGCCACTCAGCATCTTTGAACGCTAATACCTCATACAAACTATTGCATGTAAAGAACACACTATCTTGTACTGTATATTCATCGTGTGAATAATCGTACGTTGCTGGTTTTTTTTGTTTTTGTTTTTTTTTGTAGGTTATGGGACGATGGTGTGATCGATCCACTAGACACGCGGACAGTACTGGGCTTAAGTCTTAGTGCAGTTTTTAATTCACCTATTAAAGACACAAACTTTGGTGTTTTTAGAATGTGAATCAATTCAAGAAATATATTTCGTGATAATTTAAAATAAAGGTGTACGAAATTCTTATCAATTTCTCATTGGATTGAGTTAATCAATTTTTTATAGATTCMCAGACACAAATGTATTTACTATAACCCACTTTTCGAGAGAAATGCATAGTATTTCTTGACGGCCACAGGAAGACCAAGAAGGAAGGGAATCAGTCTTTAGAAATGCCTCTCAAACAAATTAAACCCGACTTGCGAATCTCGCCTTATTGGTCAAACACAATAGAATCAAGACGAGACGCATACGGTGAAACGGTCAGCCAAACATGAAAAACTGTTTTCTTGTTTTATTTTACTGTGCTTATTAATGCAAAATTCGTATACACCGTATTCCAAAATGCCACCCTTTGTTCAATTAGCCCTTGTTTTCTCACTCTCATAAAATTATTCTTTTGTCTTTGAGATTGAGTGACTTTAAAAGAAAAGAACAATTTCATGAAAACGAGACATCAAGGGCTAGTCAGCCATTTTGGAATAAGGTGTATTTTCACGATTAGTATACAACCTCAAAGATTGCATGATTTTAGGAA